CCTCTTATCACCTATCTTTTCTGTCTCTCTCTGTTTTTGCACTAAAGGGCATTTTCACATGATCAGCATATTTTTGCACACTGTAAGATTAAATTTAGATATAGAAACATGGAAGGACATAAACACACACCTAAACCATTCTCAACAGGAATTATTATGACTATAAAAATTACAATTAAAAATATTGTATTATATTACATAATATTATATATCCTGCAGAAGCTCCTTAAAACACATTTCAAATTGTTTCAGCATTTTGACTTCAAAACTTGTATATAGTTCAAAAAATCAGGATGCCGTACTGTAAAAAAAATAAAATAAAATTAAAAGTCTCAAAAAATTATTGGAGTATGTTTTACAAGAAAATACTATTTCAGTCTTTGTACTTCAAAATTGTCCATTTAATTAAATGTGTTACTTGGCATTTCTTTGTAATTGTGAAATTTACTAGCAAATTCTGAGTGTGTAATTAAAATTAGCCTGTCAGTTCGCCATGACTCTCAGTAAGAATTTTGTTACTTATTATTAAATCTATGATCAGATTAACCCTTCAGATAAGAAAAGTTCTAGAATGAATATATATATATATATATATATATATTAGTTTGTGTGTGTATGTGTATATTCTTTTTTTTCCTCATATGAATGGTTGTGTCCTTATAGGCACATAATCTGAGATACTTTGTTTATTTAAGTTATTGTGGTTTCAGTCATTTCAATCAAGTAGTGGCACTCACATCAGTTAAGTTGTAGTGAGGCGTTCTGAGAGGTGTTGACAGACCGCACAAAAAGAGCATGCTAAAACGTTCAGTCCATCTCCACGGTTACCCGATCTCCTGCACAGACGGGAGGTGCCTCATTGGCTGCCAGGCTGGGGTCACTGTGAGGTTAAGACAGTGTGATGGATGGACCTCTCTCTTTCTGTCCTTTTTACTCTATCTGCCTCTCTCTACCCCCCAGTTCTTCCTTTTTTCCTAGCTGATGCTTGCTTGAACACCCCTCTGTAATGTTCTTCTTATAACAGCTTTGCTCTCATAATTTTTTTTTTTTTTTAAAAATTACAGGCTTTATGTATGACAATGAGAGTGAAATTCAGTGTTTATTCTGTTTGTGTTATTACAGTACAGTTCATTTTACTGAAAGGATGTTTACTACATAATCACAAGAACACAAAGAAAAGCTGTATTGAAGCTTCACACTACAGTGATGGTTTTTTATAACCTGAGATGACATGTCTCATCTTAAAAGTACAATTGCTGCTAATACGTAAAGCATTCCTCTTCAGCTTTCTACATGTCCGGTCCAGTTCCATCATTAGCTGTTTAAGAATGGACATTTGGAGATGTTTTCGAATGCTAGTGTTTTTGTCAACACAGGAAATGTCTGAAATGTAAGTCGCATGAGCATCATTCAAACATGTAATCCCAGTAAAACAACTATAAAATTATTTAAGAGAAGTTTTATATTTTAATTTACTTCCCTATCATGCTTGAAAAAGATTTTCAGACATTGCAGTCCATTAAAAGTTTGATCTTTGAAGTATATTTTTGCTATGTGTGTGTTGTTAAGTCTGTATGTTGTCATACGTGTGTATCTGTGTGTGTGTGTTTTGCTTAATACTCTTTCCAATTAAAGCATTTTGTTGTCTTGATTATTTCTGACACTTAAAGCTATTTGTTATGTTGTTATAATTAATCAAAGCAAGGCCACAAGAAAAGCTTTTAGTGTTAATTCTTCATTTTTGCCTATACTTTAACAGTCAAACAGTATTCTTCTGGTTTAGTATTATTCTATATATAATACTGAATATAGACAAAAACTATAGCACATTTTTGAGGTTTAGAACAATGAATTGTAAGTTCAGTCCACAAGGGGGGAAATTTATTTATGTTAGACATTTGTTTTAACATTAAAACCAGCAACAGTGTCCACATTAAATGACCAAGCTATTTTTTTTCTCTTGTGCTCTCTGTATCTCACACATGTATAATCTAAAGTGACCAACAGGTGTTTACCTTACTTCAGAAACCTGCCTAAACAGACCAAGAAAATGACTGAAGGAGACTCGTGAAATAACATTTTTGCTGTAAATGTGTCAGTCACATAAAATCTTCCTGTTGATATTCAAATATATATATATATATATATATATATCCTGACTCACATGACATGAAACTACTTTTATCCCAATCATCTGTAAAAAATAAATAAATAAACACTCGTTCATGTATTCGTAATGGCCTTCAAACATCCATCATTAATTTGTGTTGACGCCTGAGTGCCTGTAATAGGTATGTTCAATGAAGCCATTTTAAATAGGAACAGTGTTTAGTAATATGCCCTGATTTTTGGTAAATTTGCGTTTCTTATATATAAAACTTTGTAAGTTAAATTATTTTTGTTTTAAACTTATAAAACTTAGCACTCCCTGTAAAAATCAATAATCTCAGGGCTCAGTGACCATTCAATGACCCCGGGGTTTTCTTTCGAGGGTCAGGCCAATGCAAAGTCGAATCACTCCTCGATTTCGAGAACAATAATCTTGAAATGAATATGTGCTTGAAATAATACGTGTTTACAACAATAAAAACATTATTATTATTATTATTAAGTTGTTATTATAATCATTAAGTTGTTGTTATTATTATTCTGGGATAATTAATAGAGGTGAGTTCTATTTTTTTGGTTGTAGCGTATTCTATTTTCACGAACGCTCTTTTCGTTAATTTGCTCTCTTAGTTTCATTAAGAACTGAATGTTTCATGAAGTTTGATTGTCAAGAGCTTCAATATTTCTTTAAATCCCTGATCATGATTTCAGTAAATAATTTGATGAATAAACAAATGTATCATTTCAGTTATTACAATAATAATAGATCATATCTCCCTTTTATAGAAATGTAAGTAACATTTCAGTTTATAATATTTGGTAATAAGTTTCCTTAAAAACACGGCCAAATACCACGATTAGATATCGCAAAATGTAAACATAGTCATTGTATAACGAACATGTCCATTTCTTAACATTGTATAATCTTAAAAGTTTCTTGTTTTTTTGTTTTGCTTTTTTGGTAACCTGTTTTTGTTATTGGCGTACCTAAACTGCCAAGAACATAATCGCATTTATGTTTTCACATTCACGAGTGCTCCTGCTTAAATTTGGTGATTAGAGACGGAACAGGGTGACATTCAAACCCCAGAACGGAAATTTTAGATTGATTTGCGTTTATCTCCTGCCTAATTATTTCTTCTGCTTCTAATTTTAAATAATTAGGTAAATGTTTCTCTAATGCTAATTTTTATTTTATTATACTTTTTTTGTATTTTGATAAAACGATTTAGATAAATTTATCGAATTATTAACTATTTTCAACTCAATGCAATGCAATGCATAATAAATATATAACTATTATAAACTTGTTGATATTTTTCGTCACTTCAGCATGAGGACAAATCGATAGTGGGCAGTATTTTCAGTGCATTCACAGGTGTGCCCATGTCCGAAAATGTAGAGTAAAACCTTATTCATAAATTTAAAGGAAAGTTATCTTTCCTTTGATATTATTAATCTGTAATTCTAAGCTAATACTTTGCATTTTAGAAAGTACATTAATACAATTATTGTTTTGAACATCAACAAACAAACACATGTTGCGCCTTAGGAAGAAGAACTTGCGCACCCAGGAGACCAGGAGATATTTAGGCTCCATGCAGACTTCCACGCAACCCTCATGTTCAGGTGGATTTAAGGTGAAGCTCAAACAAAACCGTTGTGAGGGTAGAGAAAATCATTTTTTAAATTAACTAAAAGAAAAAATATGTGGTGTGTTTTAAATCAGCATGTCAATGGGTCCTAGAAGATATTTTCTGTGCTCTATGGGCAACTGTTTGGTCATGCCTGTATTTGTGAGTGTGTGAATACGAGAGAGAGAGAGCGGGTGGGAGGGAGGAAATGACAGAAGATATCTGAAGTCTACTTGAACGTGATGTTTGGCCTTCAGATCTGTTATTCAGACTTTTTGCTCGTTATTATGCGCTGTTACTGCCTTACTGACAGGTTGTGATATGAGAAATCAGACATGTCATGAACACTGATGGGGTCAGATTGACTCATCCTTGACAGTTGAGATGATTTAATCGATGTTCTCTCTCTCTCTTTCTTGTTGTCCTCCGTTTCCCTTCAATAAACTAACAGGTCAATAGGGTTGTCATCACGAGTGACCGTTACAGCATTGCGCATCTTCTTTCGTGGATAAACATGCTTACCATGCGCCAATATAGCTTCGTCCCTGAGGAAGAAACCACTCGCGGATGCATATATCAGTTAAAGAGCCAGAGAGTGAATTATCTGTGGATTGTGACTGCCAACAAGCAAATCGATTAATCAAGCATAACAGTACGGCCACAAAAACAAACAAACAAAAAAACCTCTATGGACACCTGTACATAAACGTTATATAGGCTAAATAACTTGTAGATTATTTTAAGTTTCCAGATTGTCAGAAATATTTTTGACATTTAAGTGTGGCTGTGTGAGGCTTATACAAGGCATTGGCACCATCAAGAGTATCGCACCAGTGTTCAAAGAAATTGTAATTAAGATAATTTTTAATTCACACATTTAATTCACCCGTATCTTGATCGTTTTCTAAAGCATGTTTCTAAAGGAGACTTGAGTCTTCATCTTTGACTGATAAAACTCAGTACGATCGGATGACAACTTTTGCGCATCATGTTGCATAACTTACAACACATACACAACATCAGGGTTAACACTATGCACAGTCCAGAAAAGTTGTCAGTATTTTCAAACAAGCCTCTGGCGAAACGTACAATTGATTCGTATCTCTTAATAATACATCCCTTAAATATATTGCATTTCTTTTGGTTGTTGAGGTAGGCATTTTGACAAATGGTGCAAGTCTGACCAAAAACGTGTAAAAGTGCAGCATCTGCTATTACTGTGCACGAAAATGCACAAGCAACTTGCTATTTCTGGGTGCTTGACAAGGTGCCCAAGACAACTAAGAGTCATTTCTCAATAACACAAAGTAGCAAATGTAAATACTGAGTGGTCAAAATCTGTAAGATGTGCACTGGTCTCTGTATGATACTTTCACTGATGTCACATGATGATTTTGATAATAACCTTGACACGAGAGTCACTAACAGTACTGCAATATCATTAACAGGTTGGCAGAAGAAACGAGTCTTTTAATTCGAGGAGGCATCAACGGTCGGGGAAGTTGGAGAGGGAGTGGGTGGTGCGGAGAGCGACTTTTCGGATGCATCCTCCTGTTTTTCGTGACCATCCTTCGTTTTGGACTGAGATTTGGGCAAAATACCTTCCTTTTCTCTCTTCTTTTGCTTCATACGACGATTTTGGAACCAGATCTTCACCTGAGTCTCGTTCAGTTGAAGCGCAGCCGCGATCTCCACCCGCCTTGCGCGAGTCAAGTACTTATTGAAATGAAACTCTTTTTCAAGCTCTGTCAGCTGTTTTGTAGTAAAATTTGTGCGTACAGTATTTGGCTGCCCACCAAATCCATACTCTCCAGCTTTCCCTGAAGAAAGACGATAAATAGATGAATAAATGAGTGTGTGCAAGCATAATCTTGACTTAATTATATCACACCAGTTTTCCAGAATTTGACAACCTTGTTCAAATAACAAACAAGTCAGTATTTGTTTTCTTTTTCATTCGTAGCATAAATACTGTATCCGGTGGGGAAAACACAATGGTAAATTAGACCTCGACATGTGAAAGTTCTCCAGCTACTCACCTGTTTTTGGCGGGTTCCGTTTAACCTTCATCCAGTCAAATGTCTGCCCTGTTGACACGCCATCTGATAGAGGTGAACAGCATGCTTCGTGATGAGCCACATGCAGAGGGGATAGCGGATTTGAGCAGCCCGCCACAAACGTAAGGTTTGCCTGATCCGAACTATTACCATATGTGGCGTACTGGAACTGGCCGTGGAGGTGAACGTTTCCGCTACTGTTACCATGGCGATGGTGACGGTGCTGCACAACCGTGGAGGAAATATTTCCAGAGTAAACTAAGGGGCTGCACTGGGGAACGCTCACAGACGAGTCCACATCCTGATTTAGGGCATAGTGACTGTATCCGGCGCAAAAACTTTGAGTCGCGTAACTTGGATGGGCGCTGTAGGTAGGCCTAATTGACAGAGTCCCGGGGGACTGGTACGAGCCGACTTGATGTGGCTGAGGGTTAATTGCGTCTTGTGATGATCTACTGGACATGTACCGCTCGTCCCCACTGCAGCTATTTACCCTAACAGCACACGACGACTGGAATGTTGAAAGTCCGTGGTCGCCATGAAACGCTCTGACTGAGCACGAGCCCCCGCCACCTCCATCTCCACCACCACTTATGGCCGAGAAATCTAAGAATGTGCTCATTGCGGCATCTTCCTTGGCGTCTCTGCTGCCACACTGACAGATCTTTGGGCCCGGGGACTGATTAGCGTCGCACCACTCACCTGGGGTTGAGCCGAGCCACCCTTCTGCCTCCTTCAATCAGTCGTGGATTGGAGAGTGTCCGCGCGCTAGTGATATGAATGACCAGTGACAGTCACGTGGGCTGGGTCAGCCAGTGATCAGTTGTTCTGTCTCATCTTGATCTTAAGTGGCCTTGCACTGACAGGTTGTCGTTAAACACCAGGCTTATGTAAATGCCGACCTCTTGTCGATAAACGTGACGTAGGCCCACCTTATCCCCCATTGAAAGGATGGATTCGCTGGGAAAGGAGCAAGGAGGTACGTTGTCTCACAGATAGCGTCCAGGCAGCAACATACTGGTGTGGGGAAATATGTTGAAGAAATGCGTCAGGTAAGATAAGCTCCAAAAAACCACAGGCAATTATGTAAAGTGAATTATTATTATTTTTTTTTTACTTCTGGTTTATTGTATATTTTGCGTCAGTTGCGCTGCTTTGTGAGGCTGCTAGGCTATAGTCATCAGCGTTTGTCAAGTTGGTTTTGTGTAAAAAAATGATACACTGGTTATAAAACTGATTGTATTTTTTTTATCTGGATAAGTTACCTTTTCATTAGAATGGTTTTATAATTTAATAAGGCTGAGTCTTAATAAAAAGCCTGTGCTATAGCCCATTGTAGATTTATTGCTGCTATAAGCGATTTATATGTAAAACATATGGAAATTTTAACATCCAGCAAAAACGAAACAGAACTTTGTCACATATTACTTGTTTTGCTGAAAGATGTTTTGTTATCAGTGGTCACAAAGTGGCCACACACAAAACGTGTGTTTGATTAAGGTTGGAGCTAAACTCTGCAGGACAGTGGCCCTCCAGGACCGAAGTTGCCCAGTCTTGCCCTAGCCTGTTGTTGAGCAGGGGGGACGTGCGCCCCCTCTGGATGAAAAGGACATTTTACTAGAGATGTCCAATGTTATTTTTTGTCCTCAAAATGGCGCTTTCCACAAGCTTCTGACGGCCTAGTATTTCTCATTCTCTCTTCTTAACATCCTTTTTTAACATGGCCCCTGACAAACAAGGCAAGAAAAATAACAGCTGTTGTAATGCACTTACTGTTTTGTTTATTGCGGCTATTCTTCGTCTTGTAGCGAGCCAGAGTATTAACACAGTATAAATTAGAACCTTAAAGCAGATAGCCAATGCATTTAAGCAAATTGTGACTATACGAATCATTTGAAGTTTGAAAAGCAGAATCACTTAAAATCTTGCAGAGATTTTCAGTCACATTCACACAAGACAATATTTGGTCTTTAGGAAATGTGGGTGAGAAATATGTGAACATAAAAATATGCTATTGTCATTATAATACTGTTTTATTAATATTAGAAATGTCTGGAAAAAAAGGTTTTAATATAGAGTTCATTAACCATTTCTATCACGTTATATCAGTCAGGATAGAAGGACAAGAAAAAAAAAACTAAAAGAGACTAAGACAAATAGCGTATGCCACGCGCAATGAAATATGTAGTTTATGAGTGTTTTGTGTAATCCTAATGTCGGATGTTAAAACGCCAATAAAAATGAATTATTATTAACCGTCCACGTGGGTTGTGCTTCAGGAACCAAAATCTTCTTAATGATAAACAGTGAGTGAAAACACTTATTTGGGCAGACTTTTCACAGGCAGTGATTGTCTTGGTGCTGTCAGCTTGCCTGAAAGACTTTGATTTATGAGTTAGTTATGGAAAGAAACATTCTCGGCATTTCCCCACGCGGAGCGGAGAAAAGAGTCTGAGACAAAGAGCCAGCTCTGGCGAGGAAGCCATATTTGAACACGGTTTTGTGATTTAAATTGTGACTTAACATTTCAAATTAAACATTTGAAAAATGCACACATGAATATGTATAATATCAAACATAGGCCTAGTAGGAGTAATTATACAGTCAGGCTATAATAATTTGCATCGTGCAAAATGGACAACATAATATTTCATAAGTAATTATTTCTGCACATTCATTCAGAGGTTTAACTAACTAGTACAGATTTTTCCATAACATCTTATAACATTGTTTCAGCATGGAAATCAAACAAATGAGAAACATAAAATGTGAAATTACCAAATCAATGTACATTTCACACACATTTGAATAACTTTTTTTGACAAACATTTTGTACAGCTTGCAAAGAATATTGTAGACGTGAATCGAGTAAATGTTAATTTGTTTTGTTTTAATTTACTTATTTATCTTTGAAGTGTTATGATTGGTATAATGTATTTAAACTTCGTAGCGACTAAGCAATAAATACTTAGAAATAGCTGTTGCAATTGCTATTAATTTGAGAACAGAATATTGTCTTGACATTTGTATTTAGAAAGTATGTTTATTTTTACAAAAATAAGCAGCACAGAACATACTCGATACAAAAATAAAAATAATATATTCTAAACTAATACTTCTGTTATGAATGCGTTAGGCCTATGCATTATATTACTAAAGCGCACAGGGCTTATACAGCTTACCTTCAATATGTTATCATAATCGCGTCAATTACACCCATCTTGCAAAAAAAAAAAAAAAAAATCAACATTTAAAACTCCTGATTTATCCTTCCATTTGTTCACTGATCCACTTTGATAATCAGTAGTTTGCATTTTGTAAATCAGCTGTAGTCAGGGAATCCTTCAAGAAATAAAAGTCTGTTGATACATCATCTGGGCTTTCCAGAGACATGTACAGTGCTGGCGAAGCTGCATCAGACAGACATGAGTCGGTCGAAAAAAAGTTTAAATCCTGCACAGACATGTCCATAACATGCGGGGAACCGCAATTGTCCGGACTGGCGAGCCGACTGGCACATCGGTTACTATTGCATATTATTGTCCCCTTGCCCAGAGCAGTAGGTGACTGACTGTAAACATATTTTAGACTTCTTTTCATAAAGCTGTTAGAAAACATTTCAAAAGTTTGCATGTCGTTATCATTACAGGACTGCCCAGAGACTGTTGACAGGTCGTTTTGAAAAGAGTTCGACTCTCTATCTAATCTACTATGACTCAGGCCACAAATCGAAGCGTCCTCGTCGCTCTTTGCACCATTATCCTCGCCGACAGTTGTCTTGCTTAGCTCCCCGTGGATGTCTTTCATTTGGGTCTGGCGTTTATGCTTCATCCATCGGTTCTGGAACCACACTTTGACCTGGCGTTCTGTAAGGTCGAGAAGCGCGGCTATTTCCACACGGCGCAGTCGGCAAAGGTATTTGTTGTAGTGGAACTCCTTCTCTAGCTCTAAAAGCTGTGTGTTTGTGTATGCTGTTCTCAGGCGGCGTGAACCTCCTTCTCCACTAGACAAACCGCCCTCGGGAAGCTCGGGTGAGCCTGAAAAAATTAGTCCACAAAGGAACACACGAACACTTATTATGTAGCTTAGTCAAACATATGCGAGATGGCAACACCTAGTATTTGTCTATCGCAACGTTAATGTAAACTTAACTGTAAAATGTGATAACACAAACTGATTAACTAAAAAGTATAGTAAAAAAAAAAAACCTGTAGACCGCGAACTGCATCACCAGTGTGTGCGTGGTACCGACTACCATCTTCTAATGAATGCCCGAGCGGCCCCTTGCACCACAACAGTAATCTATCATTCTCCATTACACGTCAGACATCATAAATACCTTACTGATTTGAATTAAGCTAGAGAGTCAAACATTTTACAGAAGTCGTAAATGAGTATAATATGAGGCAAATAGCGTGGAGATGATAGTGCAGATGTATGGCGATGCTCATAATTTCTCTCAGACCTTTAATGACCTTAATTCTCCCCATCTCTCTTCGCTTAGGTTTTCCTAACTCACCTTTTGGAGAGAAGCAAATGACTCCCGCTGTAGGAGTGAAGGAGCCGGTTGGTATAAGAGGACAGTTTCTCTTGTTGGTCTTCTTTTCGCGCATCCACGGGTATTCCGGGGTCAGAGAATTGGCGTGTAGTGGGCTTCCCCCATCTAAACTGTGCCGGGGCCCTGCATAGCGTGAATGAGTTCCGAGACTCAAGCTTGGGATGGTGTGCTCGAAAGGAGGTAGGACAAGAGGGTGAAGGTTCGTGCGCGCTGAGCTTTTGTTTGATGACTTCTGAAATAAGTCGTCAACAGGGGGGAAAGAAGTAAGGCACTCCGCGAGCGATGGCTTACTATTGATGAAACCCGTCTCACGCTCAAACTCGTAATTCATTGCAAACCTGTTGTCCCACGCCCCGAGAGCGCGGGCATGGAAATTTTGGCTTCGTTGAAGTCTACGAGTTTTCTCTCTCTATTAAAATAAGCAGGCTATGTGGATAAAAAATTACATTAAAATTATTTTATAATAACTAATTATGCCTGTGTGTGGATAGATTACTATCGATAATATTGCATTTAGGAGACTCAGTTGAAATTGGACCGAAAAGTCATGTCACATGATTACCTTTACCCAATGGCAATTTGGGGTTTATTCAAAAGGATCCAGCTTGACAGATCGATCCGTAGAACTTCCTCGAGCAACTCCTCTCTTAAGAGGGAGGTCACTGCTGTTATGTACATCGGTGTCATTGTGTTCGCTAAAGGCAGTGGCTCTGAAGCTTCATAGTCAATCTAAAAACATGCATATTAGAATTAGAACCTCCCTTTTGGCCCTACTGCACAGGCACGTCCATTCTCTCTGTGTATTGGTTTCATAAATAATGTGAGGGAATCAGTCTTCCTCCAGTACATTTGCCAAATAAGTTACGCCTGCTTACTGACAGAAGTTTTTTTTTCTCATTTGGCCTGAAAAGACAGTTGTTTCAGCCCAGCTTATTGTACAATTAATATGGCACATAAATAGGCCTACATTGAAATCACATATCCCCTCCCCCACACGCAAATCTATTGACGTAATGTTCCGCCTATCAATTCTTAAGATACACTGGTTAGACAAAAACGAACAGCTCCATGAAACAAACCCACTTACAGAACATATGGTCATCAACGATAGTAGATAATCGCGATGAAATATAAATACATTATTATTCTATCAAGCCCTAAACATCATTTACAAAATAACGCGCAAGATAAAATGAACATTCAAAGTCTGTAGCCTATATTTAACTATGAAGGATACTCTCGCTCGCTAGCTCTCTCTTCGATGGGGATCTACGTCGTTGTCAGTAAATATTTGAAGTAAAACGCTTCTTGATACCAGATGTTTTCAACTGGAAGCTTTACCAAGCATACCCGCAATGTTTGAACAGTGAGGATTAGCGTAAGTACTAAAAATCGTAATATCACATAAAACTTTAGGCCTACCTTTGTTTTATAGCTTGTTAATATCACATAACACTTTACCTGTACTCTAGCTTGTTTCCTAATATAGATTCTACTAAACCTGGCATTGTGAAGTCTACTATGAATGTTGTTGGCTCTGTGACAAATTGCTTCATGATGTTTCAGTTGGTAAATCGCTTTGGATAAATCAATGAATGTAAAATGTAAACATAAGTGAAGTTATTTCTGAAACAAAGCAACTGACATTCAGTATAGATCTTTTGGATTAAAGGGTTAGTTCACCCCAAAATGAAAACGCTGTCATTAATTACTCACCCTCATGTCGTTCCAAACCCGCAAGACCTTCGTTCATCTTCGGAACACGAATTAAGATATTTTTGATTACATGTGAGAGCTCTCAGACCCCGCATAGACAGCAACGCAACTGTAATGTTCCCAGGTCCTGAAACATAGTAAGGACATCGGTAAAACAGTCCATGTGACATCAGTGGCATTGTTTACGCTTAGGGGAAAGTGTGCGTATGCGTTGTGATACTCTCTAAAATGGCGGAAGACGTAACTCGGGGGAGAAGAATTGAATAAATTATGTTATTTTTGTTTTCTTTGCGCTCAAAAAGTATTCTCGTAGCTTCACAAAACTGAAGTTGAGCCACTGATGTCACATGGACTGTTTTACCGAAGTCCTTACTATGTTTCTGGACCTGGGAACATTACAGTTGCGTTGCTGTCTATGCGGGTCTGAGAGCTCTCACATTTCATCAAAAATATCTTAATTTGTGTTCCGAAGATGAACGAAGGTCTTACGGGTTTGGAACAATGAGGGTGAGTAATTAATGACAGAATTTTAATTTTGGGGTGAACGATCTCTTTAAGATTAAACTGAAAGTAATTTGTTACGTTTTGTTTTATTCTACACAAGGAGGGGACTTTCTATGCTAACATTGTAATTTTTTTTTTTTTGCCGGTTTGCAGATTATGCGGAAATAGCCTATGTTAAACGTAAACGAAACTAGTACTTTTGTCGTTTGTAGTTTCAGTGCTTATATACTAAACAAAGAGTTCTAGAAGCATGCGCGTGATCAATCTTACTTGCCAAAAGGTTTGACAGCCTCATGCCCCCACAACACATTTAAACCTTTTTACTCTACGCAGATCAAATCCTGGTAGAACGAGAGGCTGGAAAAGGCTCCATTAGAGAGATTTGCCCGGTTCTCTCGATCATAAACAGATTTAAAGTGACCATTTTCAGATTTACATTTAGAGACATAAACTTTCATGGAGCAGTTGGCCTAATTTGCTATCGATGAGTAAGTAGTTTCTTTCATATTGCAAAATTTGATAAATTAAAGGACACGCTAATGTCGTTGTGATAACAGCAAATTGGGTTCTGGAGTCGTCAAGAAAAGTGGTTATATGTGGGAGGTGGCACTTGCAAGTCGGTGAAAACATGACCCTGTTCTTTTCCATAACCACATCTTGGGTTAACATGTCCTAAATTTATTAACTTTGTCTCGCGCAAGCTCCTGCTAACCTTATGCCACATTTAAGGGTATATCCTTCTATAGAATTAAGGCATTTTTACAGGGAACTACAAGGTACAAGTATATTGCATTTATTTATAACATTAAGACGAACAGTAATGTAATTTGATAGGCTAAATATAGGCTAGTGAAAAAGGGCATTTTTGTTTGAAACTATAGTTGTTGTTGTTGTTGTTTTTTTTTACTAGCAATTTACTTTTTAACCAGTGTACTACACAACAAAGCTGTTAGTCATTTAATTTAACGTAATTTCATGTAAAGTGCAATTATGAAACAACATTATTGATATTAAAGAATGGGTCTCTAAATTTAGACTTAAAATTTGAAGAATTCTGTGTCAATCTTGAGTACTATTACTAATGACCATAGACCATTTGGACTCAAATGACAAGTTGTTTCAGATAATTTTACGTTGATGTGTTGTGTGTGTGTGTGTGTGTGTGTGTGTGTGTGTGTGTGTAAGTGTAAGTGTTTGTGTGTGTGATGTGATGTGCATTTCTCTCTTTCTCTCTTTCTGCTGCTTATGTTGCATCTGTCTTTTATACATTGCACTGTTGTTGTTCTAAACGAGGGCTGGGCTTAAGCATTTCAGAGTTTTAAATACTTTTTTTCTCCCACAGGCACTGCTGGAGGCCTGTAGGAGACTGTCACGACAATGGATGGGATTTCTTGCAATTTTCACAAACTGCAAGACCGCCGGAAATGACGATGTACCACTCATACTCAGTAGATTCAGTATTAGGATGTTTCTCCTATTCCCAAATGCCTTTCAGTCATTTTATTAATATATAATCTTTAATTCTTTTTAATTAATTCTTAATTTGAACCAAACAGCGACGTGCACTGAGCAAATTATCTGCTTATTATATTGCTAATTTTCTGATGCTTTTGTTGTATAACCCCTCTTTTATGAAGGCAAATACAGAAGTCAATTAGTGTCTTTTATTTCTTCAGAAGTGGAGCAGCATGGAATGTATGAAATAAAAAAAAAAAGTTCAAACAAATAAAAAGTATGAGTATCTGATCGCTGTCTCTTTCGACTCTACACAACACATGATTAACATTCGCACACATTGATTAATATTTGAACACATCGACCTTTGATAATCTGCCTGTTAGCACTTGTTTCAGCACTGACATGGGAGAGTCGCGGGATCTGGTTTCCTTTTACCCATTATCTTAAGGATTTGGGCTAAATAACACAATTTACTGTCCATGGAAACAAATAAATACATTTGTAAGACCTAAAAAACACGAGCTCACGCTGTATAAGACTGTTGAATAAGAAATCGTGTTCATATGCATCCTTCCTCAAGTGCAAAATGCAAAACAGAAATGAAATCGTGGACTGAGAGGAATTTTGAAGACTTTAAAATTCACGTAAAAAAAAAAATCATAAAACTGTGTTCTAATATGTGTTCTCACCCTGTTTCAGATTTCCTTAAACAATAGGCCTACATATTCCCATGATGCCATGACATTTGAGCTTTGAGGAACTTTAATTTCCTTTTTATGTATTAAGTAAAACCAACAACAAGGTCATTTCACCTGAGGCTATGTCAGGAAAACTATATGAACCAAAACGCAGTCAGACGGAGCGCAAATGTGTGCCGTGGACTGGGAGAGAAATACATGGTATCGGCACTATAGATGCGTCAGTTTGGGCGCTACCTGAATTCTTCCCTGAGAATACTGCGGTGTAAGTTCTGTGAATGTGCATGGGTTTGGTTGGCACGTTCCTTGCTGATGGCTGTTTCCCATGGTGATAGCGCCGTTGTAGTCTATATTGCCTTGAGGTGGGTGCGGTAGATGTGTCAGGCCAAATACCGAGGCCCCCATCCCCACCAAAGAATCTGAGTAGCCTCCACCACCACTGACATAAACCGGGCTACCCTGCACTTGCGTCCCGTAATTGTTGTTGCCTTGAAGATGATGCGTGTCGTAATCCGGCGTGGCTGTGCCAGTCCCTGGATACCGCTTCTGAGGAGGCGGGCAGTTATTCAGAGGAGGTGGGTATGACGTAGGAAGATTGCATGCATTAGGCTGGAGTTTGTTATAGGATGCTGGAGAGGGTGAGTCGTAGGGCACGCTGTTAACCAGAGAATGCATTGAACTTAAATATGCACTCCCACCCCCTCCTCCGTCACCGGATGACAGAGCTACGGGACTGTGAGGAGACTGTGCTCCAGGAGAGGGCATCATTCCTAGCCCCTTCTGGTCCTTTTTGTACTTCATCCTGCGATTCTGGAACCATATTTTAATCTGCCTTTCCGTCAAATTGAGCAGATTAGCCATTTCCACTCGTCGCGGGCGGCAGAGGTAACGGTTGAAGTGGAATTCTTTCTCCAGTTCTACGAGTTGAGCAGAAGTGTATGCAGTACGAGCGCGC